CACTTTAGCCTCATCTTAGAGGGAAACTGGATCCTAGGACTATCACTTGTGTTTTCCTTGGTTATCCTACTGGTAAGAAAGGCTACAAACTATTAAACTTGGCCACCAATAAGATATTTGTCTCTAGAAATGTGATTTTTCATGAATCTGTTTTTCCCTTTACCCATCCTACTACTAATTTCTCTCAGTTCTTTCCTACTTCTTCTCCTGTTGATTTTTCTACACTTTCTGATTCCTCTGCTTCTCTCCCCACTACTGATTCTTCTGCTCCTATTTCCTCTCCAGTTTTCTTCCCTCCATCTACTCCTAGTCCTGTCCCTAGTTCTACTCCCTTTGTTAATCCCTCTTCCTCTTCATCTGTTTTACCTATATCCTCATCTCCCTCTCCTTCTCATCTTCCCATCACTCCTGTTGCTCCTTCTGAGGTTCCTCCTGCTACTTTGCGCAGATCTTTAAGAGAACACAATGCTCCTAGTTATTTGTCTGATTACATATGTGGGGCAGTGCACTTAACCAATGTCTCTAATTCCTGTTTCCTATCTCCTATTTCTCCTTCTACTATTTCTTCCACTCAACTTTCTGTTTCTAACCAAAGTTTGCTAAATTCCTTGCCTACTATCCATGAGCCTTCTAGTTTTTTTCAGGCAGCATTGGACCCTGGTTGGCAAGCAGCAATGGCTAAAGAACTTGATGCTTTAAAGGCTAATGATACTTGGGAGGTGGTTCCATTGCCTATTGGGAAGAAAGCTCTACCTTGCAAGTGGGTTTACAAGGTTAAACTTAAATCTGATGGGAGTGTGGAAAGGCTCAAGGCTCGTTTGGTTATTAGAGGGGATACTCAACGAGAGGGGATTGATTTTACGGAGACCTTCTCCCCTGTTGTCAAAATGACCACTATCAGGTGCATTCTTGCTATTGCTGTTAAGAAAAATTGGGGACTTTATCAATTGGATGTAAATAACGCCTTTTTACATGGGGATTTACATGAGGAGGTTTATATGAAATTTCCAGCAGGTTTAGATTCTCCTTCTCCTAACCTAGTTTGTCGACTCAAGAAATCTCTATATGGTCTTCGCCAAGCCTCTAGGCAGTGGTACGCTCGTTTAACTTCCGCTATTAATTTCAAGGGTTTTACTCACTCCCTTAACGATTATTCTCTTTTTTACAAGAAAACTGGTGATTCTGTTTCTCTAGTGGCAGTTTACGTGGACGACATTTTACTTACAGGCAACAATGTTCAGGAATTGAATGATTTGAAACAGTTCTTAGATCATGAATTCAAGATTAAAGATTTGGGGACCTTATCTTATTTTTTGGGTATGGAGGTGCTTCGTGAGCCATCTGGTCTGATCCTTTGCCAACGCAAATTCACTCTTGATCTTCTCACTGAATTTGACTGTCTTGGTTTGTCTCCTGCTTCTTCTCCTTTGGACCCTTCTTCTAAACTTCGTTCTGGTGTTGGGGCTCCTCTTCCTGATCCTCTACTCTATCGTCGTCTTTTAGGCAAACTTAATTTCTTGACTCATACCCGTCCTGATATTTCTTTTGCCGTCCAGCACCTTAGTCAATTCATGCAAGATCCTCGCGTGCCTCATTTCTCTGCTGCTCATCACTGCCTTCGTTATCTCCTTCGTGACCCTGGTCTAGGCCTTTTCATGAGCGCAGATCCTTCTCTTGATTTGCTTGCTTTTTGCGACTCCGATTGGGGTTCTTGTCCTGATAGTCGTCGTTCTGTCAGTGGGTTTTTCATTAGTCTTGGCAGTTGTCCTGTTTCTTGGAAGTCCAAGAAACAATCCTCCGTCTCTTTATCTTCTGCTGAAGCCGAGTACCGGTCCATGCGGCGAGTCGTTGCTGAACTCACCTGGCTCGTGCGTTTGCTTGATGATCTTTCCGTTCTCCCTTCTTTGCCTGTGCCTCTTCATTCTGATAGTCAAGCCGCCATCCACATCGCCAAAAACCCCGTTTTCCATGAGCGTACCAAACATGTGGAACTTGATTGCCATTTTGTTAGGCAGCAGTTCCAAGCGGGCTTATCTCTCTTTCCTTTCTTCCTTCCCATCATCAAATCGCCGACTTGTTTACCAAGCCCCTCTCTGGGCCTCTCCATCGCAGTTTACTGGGCAAGTTGGGCGTGCTTTCCGCCCCCTCCAACTTGAGAGGGGGTGTTGTCGATGAAGCTACTACTGAAGATAGGGTTTCTGGATAATACTAAAGATAAGGGTTCATTATAAGGCACTATTGGGCTACAGCTGGTTATTGGGCTTATTAGCATATTGGGCCTTCAGCAGCCTTTTCTCTTTTGTTATCTTTTGTACATAATATAATAGTAGGTTCTAGTATTTTCTAGAATAGGGGTAATTATGTACATGTATTAGGAAGTTAGTTAGTCAGCTATATATATATATATTCATTTTCACCTTTGTAGTGACGGTTACACAATCATAATAAGAGGAAAATATTCATTTGCTCCTTTTACAAATTTTCTCTCTCTAAAATCAACATAAATTAACAATTCAAATTGGGGATTAGTTTCAAGTTGGAGTTTTAAAATTATTTTAAAATAAATAAAACGAAAATAAAGACATAAAAAACTTTCAGAGAAAAATATTTAATAAAGTAATATGCTAATAAAACTTTCTATTAACAATGTAATAATATTAAATATTAGATGATATAATAAAGAAAAATACATAACAAAAAAGTTATTCAATGCGCTCCCTGTATAAGTCCCGTTAGTTTAACAGAGATTTTGTTCATTAAAATTTAGATAATATTATTAAGAACAATAGAATAAAATTTAAATAAAAAAAATATTTCAACAGTAATAAATTATAAATCTTCTCATATATGAACAAAAAGAAAGTGAATATTAAATATTGGTTAATATAATAAAAAATATATAGAACAAAAAAGTTATTCACTAACTATATAAGTACCTTTGATTTAATAGAGATTTCATTATTGGGTATATCGTATTGATAAGTAAGATGACAATTGAATTTTATTAAAGCAATACAATCTAATAGGATCAAACAAGCCCTATCATAATTTAATTTAATTAATATTTTTTAATACTGACCGCGCATCGCGCGGGTACGACTACTAATTTAAATAAAAAAAAAATGATAACAAGCTTTTATAAGGATAGAGATACAAGAGGTAGGCATTTACCACTTTCTTCTTTTTCTTCTTTTGGATATATAGGTAGGCATTTGTCACTATGTCTAACTAATGTATTTTGGCAAGACTTTCCCTTTATATGAAATCATTCAAAACATTTAATCACATTAATGGAAAAACGAGAAGTCATTAACAACTTGATTATTTTAGATATAGTAGATAGAAACGACACAAACCAACTTTAGATATTGTACGCACCCTTACCCTGCACTTTTTCCACGGCTCGAACTCGTACCTCCCGGTCACGTGGCAGCAACTTTACCAGTTACGCCAAAGCTCCATTTCAAAAGCATCTCTTCTTAGTGCAAATTAATAAGTATTGGATCATAAAGTATAACATAATTGTAAACAAGCGCCTAATGATATCGTGAGGAATTTAACTTCTTAAAAAGTTCATCAAATGACACACACATGGAAACTGATTAGGTTCTCAGTAATATTGAACTCTGTATGTCTCAAAACTCTAGCAGTACATTGCATTACAATCCAAACCAAATTTCTTGTTGAATTGGCAGCCTATTCCTCTGTATAGGACTATACTATCTACCTCTGCATTCGCGCTCTATAGGACCAATCTAATCTAAGTTAAAATAATCATACAAAAATACAGGAATAAGGAACTGCTATAGTAGATTTTTCTTAACAAGTTTACATTGGAAACTATACATGTAACATGTTGCTATACTTGAGGTAGCTATTGAGAGATAGTGATTGAACAATCAGAGGGTCTCTAACAGCTGAGTTGTGGAATTCTGCTCCGAAAAATCTAGTGAAGAATTCATGTTCACCTTTATCCTGCAAAGAGTAAGTTGATAACAAGTGATGTACAAGTAAATGGTGGCTCGAAATAGAATGGAAGAGTATGAAGCTGGCACTGCCAGATCAAACCTGTTGTGAATGTTGACATATTCGTCAGTTTCATCCAATATCTCTTCCTGGCATAATAAATAAAATTAGAGAAATCAGTCGAAATGAGACATAGGTTGTGCCAGAATCTATAGATCTTGTGGAAGTGCAAAACCATGTGATAAAGTTCAGATGTGAAGTGCGATACTTTGGAGAAAACATTCACAAGGTCACGTCTCTGGGGGTGAACCGATGAATACAATAGCATGAAAAGGACAAAATTACTAATGAAAGTCAGAATCTTGTGCACCTGAAGAAGCTCCTCAATGACATCTTCCATGGTAATAACACCAACAACTTCTTGATTGGGAGGGATCTCAGGGATTGGAGTGTTTTCCAAATCCAAGATACAAAATGAGCAACCTCTGTGTCTCTTCTTGAAAGCAGGAGTAGGGGGAGGAGATTTCTTTGTGACTTGGTCATCGTCAGCCTTAGGAATTGCAGTCTTAGTATCATGCAAGTTATATTTTGATGCTGCATTATCAGCATCTGCAATCAGATGAAACATGACAGGATATCAGTTCATATACAGCATTTGAAGTGAGTCAAATCAACATCAGCAATTTAATGGGATATTTAACAGAAAAACTAGGATAAGTAGCTACATGGTAGAACCAAGACTTGTTCAAGTTTTCATACCTTTATCATTGACTGGCGTATCTTTCGTCTCATTCAGATCTTTATATACAACAGCGATGTGGCTATGACCCTTCTGAAACTCATTCAGAATATCATACAGAGGCATGTTTTCAGATACCCTGAAAATACCAATGCTGCGCACTTAGCTTAAGAATAAACATAGCATGCTAAATATTATCTGCTTGAGCTGTAAATTTTTCCCTCCACAAATATGAACTCATATTACAGTTTGCAGAATCCAAACTGCAGATCTATGAAAAGGTTGTGGATTGATCTAGGAAACACTTTGTATAATCAGAACCTTAGAAATTCAGTACAGGATAGCTAGGGAAAGTTTTCTTGTGTAGAGAAAGCACAGTAGGACAATTGGATCAGTCAGTAGGCTATAACGAAGTCCGATAGAATTTAACAATAAATTGTAAAAGAAAGCTTAACATTTTTAAGTATAAAACCAAGACGCATGAACTATATACGACGACGATCAACTGCTTCCCCTACTCTGGCTACATGCAGGTAAATTCTACAAGTGCAAGGGCCATCGCGGAGTTCTGCTAAACAAATTGCTAACCCACGTCACCCTCAGTCAGTTTATTTCAGTAAGCTTCAAATTATTGTATTTGGACGAACGAATTACATGATTATATCAGACCATCAGAGCTGGACAACTTAAAGACTACAAGAAGTATAACCATTGCAACTGAAGCAACAAGGATGTAAACCATCAAAAGTATAAGGTTATATAAGGAAGAAACCAAGGGACATTAATGCTCTTCAGAAAACGTAGATGCAACTATATATCAGAAAGCATTGTTTAATTTGGCTTTACTTTTTTCTGAGTGTCTCCCATTTCCTTTGAAATGGATAAGTATTGTTTTGATTAATAGCTGGAGTGATTGATTATAAACATATACATTGAGGAAACTGTAGAATTGCTGCACTTATCCTTGCCTTGGGATTTTTCTTATCATCATTTTCCTCAGAGGAACTGTTTCTCCTGGGTGAACTGCCAAAAGATTCTTAACCTGCCCATGAAATATTTGAAGACGGGTACAAAGAGCAAGCACAATATCAGTTAGTTACCGACCCACACACTTGTGCAAAAGTAACGCAGAAAAAGAACTAAGAACTCTTGATAAATGATCTTGAGAATTAAACTTCAACTCAATAAGTGATGCACAAGGTAAAAATTGAGTTCTGCATGGGAAAGACATAATTACCAAAATTAGTCCAATAATATTTGTCGGCTTTCTGTAGTAAACAGGAACTCTACTATGCCCCATTGTCATGATAGCATTTAGTGTTTCCCTGCATGAGATAATAGGAGGGGGGGGGGGGGGGGGGTTAGAACATAACATGACTGTGAAAGCATGAAATCAGATTTAACAGCAAGTTATAAACCCCACAAGTTAAGTGTTCCATCCAGATCAAGAGAAAAAGCCTTTGATATTGGAGTCATTGCATCTTTTGCAGTTTTTTCTGTCAACTCAAGTGCTCCAGCAATTATTGTTGTTTCATCATGTGTCAAATCTCCTCCTTTTCCGGCCTGTCATAGCAATAAGAAGCAATGAAGCTGAGGCATAAAATAAAAGGACAAAGAGAATCTGAAAAAGCGGGTTCAGCTCTAGCACCTAATCTTGGTGAGATGAACTTGTTCGTATAAGCAACAACGTTCATTCATATAATATTGCATGTTTTAAAGTATTTTTACAGCTGCTTATTTGAGCACCAAAAACTGAGAACTAGAGACAAAGATTACCTCATTGCCATGGAAATCCATAAATGTTTTTAGCTCAGCTCTTCGCAGAAGGGCAGCGTGCCCCTTACCTAACATCCAATCCAAGACCTAGAAACAAAACCAAGGATGAAGCTATAAGAACCTAAACTAGAGAAAGCAGCATGGAAGAAATTTTCTCAGTTTGCTGCATGAGATTCTGGAGTTGGTTTCTTTTATTCTAAAGCTAACTGTCCGTATTAGCATGAGAAGTTTCTCTTTTATGGTAAAGATTAAAAAGAGATAGAGAGAGAGAGGGGGGTTGGACTTATTGATATTATTACTATAACCAATTATAGCAGAATAGCAAATGTATGTACTCCTCTCTTCAACTTTATGTTGCATTCTTTCCATTTTATTCCAAAAGCTGCAGAAAAGGAACAACTCATACACTTAATTGCCATCGCGTATGCGAGTCCAGATCATCTAATGGCTGGAGATAATTTTACTGTATCAATGATTGATGAAGTTTTATTTCTTAAACCCTGTCATTTAACCCGTATCATGAGTACACAGCAGCAATCAAAACATTCGGCTGGTGAAGCATTTATAAGTGACATGGAAACGTAACAGCTCTAATTGAGTCAGTTATAGGATGTGATTGCGCTTTATACCTTACTAATTGGATAAGCAATGGGAAAGAATAACCAGAGAAGAAGTTGAACAAAGGGTGCTACTGTGGCTCCAACTGTCAATCCATAGCGAGTACAGATTGCTTGAGGAATTATCTGCAATTGTAAAAGCAACGACGCCTAGTTACAGAACACGAGACGAGCAAAGGCCATAGCTAACACGCTGAAAGATTAAGTTGCTGAATAGAATAGACCACCTCTCCGAACATGAGAATCAATGTCACAGACACCAGTATTGCTGCCCATGAAGGTACAAGCTTGTCCAAGAATATAGGAAGAGACTACAAAGTGAAAGGAGAAAAGCAATAAATTAAGTCAGCACGGGTAATAAAAGGAGAACTACAGCCAAATAAGTAATGTTACACAAACCTCCATTGCTAAAGAGTTGCCGATCAAGAGTGTGCAAAGCAAAAGGTGTTGATTTTTTACCACAGGAAGTATTTTAGCTGTCAAAGAAAGAAAGAACTTTAAAAAAGCCGATTCAAGCAGACATACATACAACTCTTGTTGTGAGAATATAAAACTGCTTCTCTCCTAATTTATCCCAGTGCAAGCCATATTTTGATATAGGCGATTTATTGCTTGAATTATAGAATCATGATACAAGAAGTAGCTTAGCTTTCTTTTTTGTCCATTCCAGGTATTACAAGAAGCATGTGCCTCCTTCTCCTACTCTTTCAAATATTCAATTACCTTCGTTCAGGTACATAGTCGACACATAATTTCCTTACTTTACGGTTTGCCTTACCAACAAAGGTTACCACATCAAGGTTACTGCTAGATAATTCATTCAGTTTCTTAGTCCAAATTTACTCTCTTTTACTAACAACAACAACAAACTGGTGTATTCCAACAGGTAGGGGGTCTGGGGAATGTAATGTGTACGCGACCTTACCCCTACCTTCTAAAGGCAGAGATGCTGTTTCACTCTCTTTTACTAACTCGTGATTTATAGACGCCTTGCTTAACTCAAGATTCAACCTTTTTTCACTTTCTTTAGGAACAATTAGTTCTGGGATAGCCAATTCTATACCTTAACTTACCCAGCTGAACGATTGAAACAAGAAGGAAAAAAAAAAAGAAAAAAGAAAGAAGAAGCTTGAATACAGCATAAAATTATTAGTAAGAGAAAAGAGAGCTCTAAGAATTGATCATATAGAAAAGTTCACAACTTTATAACAAAGTTACAAAGGTAGCAGGTAAAGATTAGCCAATCAAAACTACTGACCATCAATATAGCTGACAAATAGATAAATAAAAACCCAAATCAGCAAACTTTAGCACTTTCTTATAAAAGCCCAAATCAGCAAACTTTTTAACATATTCTTCATAATAAATATATATAGAGAGAAAAAGAGTAAATTTACAGGCATGAAGACGATCTTGGGGACGGCCAGATTTGCTAAGAACTTCAAGGTCGACAAGTCCAAGAGACATAAGACCAAGTGTAAGACCTGCCATTAAACCAGCAAACAACACCAATCCTATCACTGCTAAAATATACAGAGAAAATTTTGTTCCACAACACGCCACATCAGCTGCCATATTTTACAGATACTCTTTCCTTCAGTTCAAAGAAAGTCTTGAAATTTGCTAAAGTTTTGATTTTGTCTGCTTTTTTGTAATTAAACCTCGATTTTATCAGACCCCAAATCGTCTGTTACCTAACTTGGAAAGTATTTATAGTGATTTTTCTTTCTGGTGTAGTATCTTTGTTGTGTGAGCTGTTTCTTCCCATTCAAGAACTTTGTCTTCCCCCCACCCCCCACCCCCCCACCACACGTCCCCTATATTTAAATTAATTTATCAAATCAAAAGATGTTGTGTTTGATAATTATGCAAAAGGTCATAAGGAAGAGGAATGGTCAAAAAATATTTTTTGGCATAGGTGCATGTCCAATGTGATGGAAAGCACTTATTCCCAGAATATTACTTTGCTAATCAGTGAGTTACATTGTTTCTTCCGATGCTATAAAGATTTTGTTTGTGTTATTTTTGTAACGGTAGAATTAACTGTATTTTTGGTTTATATTCTTGAGGCACATGTTCTTTGTGAAGATGAGTGTGACCTGAGCAAATATATCACATTAGTTTGTCGATTAACTATAATAAATTGGTATAATTTGATGCAAACACTTGATGTGAATAGTTATTTTTCTAATACATACTTCGGTATATTTTTTCTTTACCATTTTTACATTTGAAACTCTTTGATTTTAACAAATCATATTTAATAGTATACGATTTTCAGTTTACCATTAATGACATGCTCGTATAATAATTGAGCTAACATGTTAAAAATACTATAACGCTAAATGTATTTTAGTGTGAAAAATGTTGAAAAAATTAGTGAAATCTCAAAAAGGATTTGTCCATCATTTTGATTTGGAAAAAATTTCTCTTTTGAAATATTATTTTTATTTCTACTTATTATTTAATAAATTAATTATATTTAATAGAGTCAAACTAGCCATTAACTAGTCATTGCAGCAATACCTACATATAGGGGTGTTGATGGTTCGGTTTGGATCGATTTTCCCTTAAAAGAAACCAAACCAAGTAAGTCGGTTTTTCAAATATTAGAACCAAACCAAACCAATTAAGTCTGTTTTTTCTCGATTCGGTTTATGTCGGGTTTTGTCGGTTTTTCGGTTTTTTTGGTTATTTGTCGGTTTTTTCTTAAATATAAGATATACACTACCAAACACATATTCCAGCGATCATATTTTCAACGTTACACTATCAAATCAATTGCCCTTTGAGAAATCTATTATTTACCAAGATATATTGATGATAATTGAATCAAATAGTGATGAATAATTTAAGGACTCAATTAAAAATATATTATTTTTAACACAAAATGAATTCTTACACTTAACAAAAAAAAATTTACCAATCAAACTAGAATGTAAAGGTAAAGAACTATACTAAAAGTGCAAACTATTAACATTTACCATTAAATTTTTGAAACTTTGTATAAAAATACACATATATATAGGTGTAATAATAAATATGAAATAGCTACACCTATAGTCGGTTTGGTTCGGATTTTTTTCGGTTTTTTCTGATTAAAACCAAAACCAAACCAAATTTGATCGGTTTTTAAAATTCAAAACCAAAACCAAACAAAACCAAAAAGTATCGGTTTTTTTGGTCGGTTTGGTTTGGTTTTCGGTTTAGTTCGGTTTTTCGGGTTTTTATGAACACCCCTACCTACATATACAAGGTGTTTTGGAGACTTGTTGACACAACTTTCTGAATCATCTTCTTCCTCCTATATGCTGGGTTTCTTTCTTGAATTTTCTGCTAGTTCTGTTCCCAGTTTAATAACTGAAAGAGTTTGTTGAAACCTGCGGGATACGCCTAATTAGATTCATTGTTGTGCGGACGAAATATCCTTAAGGACAGTGTCCTTGGCACATCTAAAGCTTTGATAAATCATATTCTCCATAATCAAATATTTTTCCAACAATCTTAAGGATATTATTATTTATACGCCTAAAGCTAACTCCTATTTTCAATAACAGTTTTCCAACAATCTTAAGGATATTTCTTACATTGTCCTTATGGGGAATATCATTCTAGTAATAGTTTCGCTACTTGATACTCAAACTTGCGAACACGGAAGAAACACAAACAAACCAATATTATTTGGTACAAAAATAAGTATCAGAATAACCTTCCTACTCACAATATGTATGCAAGACATAAAATATATTATGTTATCAGGGGCGGCCCAACCAATTTTCTGGTCTAAAGTCAAAATTTATGAGGGGCCTTAACCTTTTTTTTTTTTTAATTTTAAATTTGAAGTCTATTTTTCTAACTTTTTTTAGATGCAAAGTTATTAATAATTTTCTTATAATCAATTTCTCTTAATAAGTCTTTCTCAATTGACAAGATAGCTAATCTAAGCAATATATATATTGGAAAAGAATCAATTTTTTTATTTGATTGAGTATATCAATTAAACTGTTATTTTTTAATTATACTATTTTCTTTAACATTTTTAATTCAGAAAATAAATCTAAACCATCAATATAAGATGCTTTAAGGAACATTCAAGATTAAGGCAATGTTTTTTCGAATTTTCATCATCTAGTGATCTCAGTATTTTACGCTAAGAGAAAACCAAAAATATTTTTTCATATGCTTCAAATTGTTCAAATCTATTTTGAAGTGAAAAAAATAGCCTTGTCTACAATGTATATAAAGTAATCAACTCTGAAGAACACTTCGAGAGATTTTGAGATTTCATTATCAACATTCTCATCAAATTGTTTCTTCCTATATATTACATGTTTCTTATGAAAATCGGATTCGATATTCATTTTAAATGCAATTTCTTTAGCAGAAATCATAGCTATTGCAAACCTTTCTTCTCTATATTTGTTAAAGAAAGAAATCAAACTTTTTTACACACAGAACTTTTTTTAAAACTTATATATAACATATTAGGTGTAATAAAAAATGGGGCCCCTACAAATATGAGGCCTAAAGCAGTTGCTTTACTTGCTTTAGGGAAGGGCCGCCCCTGTATGTTATCATGACCATCTATCCTAATATTTATAGATTTTGGATGTTATCTATATTATATTAAAAGTTGGAAGCCCCAAACTAAAAAGTTAAATTACTAAAATACCCTTTTACATCATTTTAATAACTTAATTATAAAAAAAAAGCTTATTCCTACGAAGAGTTGTCAAGCCAATGCTAAAAGTCACAACTATTCATTTTACCAAGCTAAAAATAACAATCACAACTATTCCTTGTAAGTAGTCAGTATACATGTGCATTTGTGTATGTGGTATGTTTCTCCTTCGTCCTTTATCTCTTAGTTTTTGTGTTCACACTTTGGGTGATATTGTTCTCATTTCTTTACTTTACTCAATTATATTTTAATGTTTATTTTGATTCACTGTAATTAATAAATTAGTATTAATATTTCCACTGATTATTTATGTCCTTGCAAATTTCTATCTTTTATTATGAGTGTACAGTAACCTTTCTTTTAATGAGTATGAGTATATTGTTTACTTTCATGTTAATAGTTTGTGAAGAATAATACCTTTTTTAGTCGGCGATTTAGTGTTATACCCCTTTTATATATTAAATTAGATATGTAACTAAAAAAAGTTAATTGTCCAACAATTTGATAGTCATTTTTCTTGGATTATCAATATAAATTTTATATATCCTCTATTGTATGTTTCTGAATTCATCCGTTAACAAATAGTACCAAAGAAAATGTTTTAGTCTTTCTTTATGTGCTTAGGATCTGTCTTCGTTTGTGCATGTTCCTGTACATACAAAGATTACTTGGTAGAAATAGCTTTAACTAAAAAAATTTAAGGCATTCTGCATTATTTGTTAAGGGATGATAAAACAGTTCGAGTTTGGTAAATAAAATAAATCGTTAAAATTATTTTGATATTCAGAAACTACCAATGATAATTTTTATCATAATATTTTAGATATTCATATCATCTACTCTTTGCACACATTAATCTCCTTATCCACATTGTTTATAATAAAGTTCTGATTTACGTTCTTGCGAGTGAAAGGAATAAATATTTTTTTGAAAGATATTCCGTATGAGTTATAACTCCACTATTATCTACGGTAGTCTACAGACATATATGGGGCTTTTCTCTTAATTTATCTTACTTGATTACCTAACTTTTATTCAGTAAATAAAAAATGACTCATTATCCAATTCAATCCTTCATATCTACAAATGAGATTATAATTCTAACACTTATTTTTTTATATATATAAATATTAATTATAAGTGTATGTGAAGGAGACAAAAATTTATGCTTGATGTATTGGTACTTTTAGGTAAAGTGTGAACCAAAAAATGGAGGAAAATAATATATTTGAAATGATTCCTTTTTACAACGGTACTTTGTCTTTCGCCGGAAAGGAAGAGAAAGATAGGTGTTCCTCAAGCAAACTTATATCGGTGTCATTATTGAGTCATCAATTCCCCATTTTTTTCATTTAGCCTTTTCTTTCATAAACAAATAATACTCCTAATAGTTTGATCATACATATATCAAAGTTTTGAAAATATTTTTTCATATTTGAAATATATATATAATATTAACCAAAAAAAAAGAAATTCATTTTACGATTATTAACTGCAGATACTGATTACTTATTCATTCAAAATGATTATGTTTGGACAATATTTGGCTGAAGTTTGAAAAATAATATTCTGCGTTAAAATTGAAGTTGGGATTATTTGACATGAATTTCACTTAGAGAAGAAGTTAGAACCTTTATGAGGAAACATTACATCCTTTGAGATACACAAACAAAATTTTTAGGTTCAAAATTAAAATTAAAATAATAATAACATCATAAATTAAATATTTAATTGCAAATAATGTGTGTCCAAATGCCTTTATAACTAAAGAAATTCTTAAAGTATGCATATGATAAAAGTTCAGTATATTGCAATACAAACTTTATAATAATGATATGAGATAAACGTGCAATGCACGTTCAGAAAGACTAGTAAAAAAAAAGCATAAAAAATAGTAGTAGATAACTTAGAAGTCGAATAGAGAAAATAGAACTCGTTTCGTTGTCATCAAACTGTTCCAATCTCTCCATATAATGACGCGACACAAAGTCCTTGCAACGTAGTCACATATTCTTTCACAAGGTAAAATTATCAGAGAACATTACTTTAGCCCTGAGAGCTGTATCATTTGACCCATTTAAAGTCAACTTTGTCAGGCGCCATC